CGGACGATGGGCTGTGGTTCAGTTCAGCTCGGCTCGGCTCTGCGAGTCCCTCCCTGGGCTCCTGGGAGCACCAGGCTCTGCCACCGGGACCCTCACGGGGCAGGGATGAGCCCGCTGTGCACGGGCTCAGTCTGCCTGGGACCCCGGCATGTGCGCCCGCCTGCTGCCTCCTTCGGGCTGCAAGCCGCAGCCCCCACGCCACCGGCCACCTCCATCCCTCCCTCTTCCCACTGGGACCGCCTTCCAGGCCCTTCCCCTGACTTGCTCCCACAGAGACAGGGGCTTTGTTCAGGTGTGGTCTGCGCTCCTGCACCAGCCTCGAGTCTTCTCACCTGCGGTTTTCTTGCTGCTGCTCTGCGTCATTGGTCACTTGTCACTTCTTTTCTAATGAACTGCAGGTTGTCACCCAGTGAAACCAAGTGTTAGGAGCCCAGCCTGACCCGAGGGCCTTCCCGGGGCTGATTCTCCTCCGCTGAGGGTGCTGGCGGCTCAGGCTGCTTTTTCTCCCCAGCTCCACGTCGGGGTGTCCTTGCTTGTTTGTTGGGTGTGGTTTTGTGAGTTTTAAAAGCACAGCGGTGAAATGCTGGGAAGCAGAGGCCTCCGGGGGGCTGGGCTCTGGAGAGGCCTCAGGGCGCTCGGGGCCGCCTGCCCCCGGCCTCCGGGGCCGCCCTGCTCCGGCCTGGTCCGCTGTCGCTTCTCAGAGCTTGCTCGTCTTCTGACTTGCTGCCTCACTCCTTTTGGCGTCAGGCAGAGCAGCAGAGACGTCTCAGCACACCGCAGGGTTCTGATTTCGCATTTAGGGTATGAAGGAGCAGATGTCGTGTCCGGCGCAGCAAGGCCCTTTGTGCCCCTCCTACGGAAGACTCGCGGCGCATATCCCTAACCTCCCGCGAGGTCCTTCTGATTTGGAACAGCACCTCCGCCGCCCTGTTGGAATGGTGCTGGCTCCGCTTCCGCGGTTGGGCCCTCGGGGCAGGAGTTTCCTAAATCAGCACCCCCCACCCCGTCACCTTGCCAGCCAGCCCTCCCCTGGGTCCCAGGCCCAGCGGCCAGCAGGGGGCAGAGGGAAGAGCTGGGGGCCGTGAACACAGCCGCTTCGGGGGCACCGTGACTGCCCCCCGTTGCCGTGTGCTGCTCTGCACCTGCCCTGGGGCCCTGGGCACCCTGACCCAACTGGGGATCCCGAGTCTTCAACACGTGGAGGGGAGGAACCTTCTCACCTGAGAATAACCACTTTTAATTGTCCTTTGTTTTGAAGATCCCAGAAGAGCACGACCTGGAGAGCCAGACCCGCAAGGAACGGGAGTGGCGGTTCCTGCGGAACAGCCGCGTCAGGAAGCAAGCGCGGCAGCTCATCCAGAAGGGTGAGCGGCCCCCAGGCGGCGGAGGGGGAGCTGCTCCAGGGCTGGGTGCAGGGTGGGGGAGCTGGTCCAGGAGGGCTCCGCGGCCTTGCCTGGGGAGACTCCAGCTCTCCGGGATTGTTGCTAGGGAAGCTCCCGTCTGACTGACAGGCTTCGGACCAGCGTCCCTTCTGCCCCTTGTCAATTCCAGGGCGAAGGAGCGAGCCCTCCGTCCGTGGGCCCTGGCAGTCCAGGCCTGCGCCCTCGCCCTGGGGATGGGAGACAGTCACCCGGCCCTGGTGGTCCTCACTCAGCTGTATTTCAGCACATTTGCACCAAGCCTTTTACTGAATTTGCCAAGAGGTGCCCAAAGTGCTTCCTGCTGTGTGCCCCCAGCTCCCCGTCCCCCCGAGGTTTAGTGGTGGTGAGCAATGTGGACGCGTGGGTGCCCGGGGAGCCCCCTCACCTTAGCTGCAGGCCCCCACCAGGAACTGAAGCAGGGAGGGAGGGGCAGCGAGGGCCTCCACCCAGTGGTCAGGATGGGGACAGAGCACGGGCAGCTGGCCTGGGAGCCGACCCAGCCCCGCAGCCCGATGTGTGGGGAGCGGGGCAGGCTCAGCTCCCCTGAGCCTTTGGCGCTGGGCTGGCTCTGATGGGGCACCGGCCCTGCCGGGCCTCGTCCTCCCAGAAGCAGTGAGGTTTGGGCAGCACTTGGTTGGGAGCTCTCCCTGGGAAACACCTCGGGTCACGTTCCATTAACGCGGGGTCACTCCTGCTGAAGCTAATCTTGGCTGTTCACGACCCGCTGGGCCTCTGTGGAGGCGCTGCCACCGCTCAGGAACAGGCTTCAGCGTCCGCAGCTTCCCCGGGGGAGCGAGTGAGCCGCCCAGTTTGACAGGCGCTCCCTGACCTACAGCGTCAGGGGCTGCTTTCTGGAGGGTGGCGGTGCTTCAGGACCCCGGGCCTCCGGGCGGGGACAGCAGGACACGTGGGTTTCCCTGTCGCCGAGGCAGCCACACGCGGTCTGGCGTCTGGAGGCAAATGGGCCTGCCAGTGAAGGCCAGGCTCTGGTCAGCGCTGAGCCAGGAGTGAAGGCAGAACCAGGCTTTCCAGACCAAAACATAAGAAATGGAGTGTATTCATAAACCGGGGCAGGGATTCTCCTTTCTGGTCTTTGTGGGAAAAACAGACGTGCTTGTCAAAAACACACTAAGAGAAGCCACTGGGCCACAGGCAGTGCTGGCAGGGGGCGTGCAGACGGCAGAGACCCGCCTCGGGGCCTGGCCTCCCGGGGTTGTGGTTTTGTCCGCGGCCAGCTGCAAGCTGGGGCATGTGAACGCTGAAGGCTGCGGGCAGGTCAGCAGGGCCTCGGCAGCGCTAACCCCCCTCCTCTCTCCGTGACCCCCTCAGCCGTCCCCCCATGACACCCGTGAGCCCGCCGCCGCCCACCAGCCTGTGCGTGTGTGCAGAGCGCCCACAGTGCCCACTCCTTTCACGGTCGAATCGGCCCCATCCTGGCTCCCTCCAGGGGAACCCGTGGCTGAGGGCGAAGGCAGCTCTGGGCAGCGGTTAAACCCTCTGGGGCCCTTCCTGATCAGCAGGTGGTTTCAGCGTCGGCCAGTTTAGCAAAAGAAGGCGGCCAAGGACTGAAACCGTGGGTGACAGCAGCTCACCTGGCCAGCGCCAGGATCACGCAGTGTGGCTGTCACAGCCACTCTCCTGTGCGCCACCTGAGACCTGCATCCAGCAGCCAAGGAAGGGGTGACACCAGAGCCTGAGGGTCACGGGGTGACGCCGGGGCCTGAGGGTCACGGGCTGCCCGCCCTCCGCGACAAGGCAGGGCCGAGAGGCCCGGCCCCAGCTGCTCTGATGAGTCGTGTGGTCCTCCAGACGTTGTCTGAGTCCATCTGATGCTCTGACCGTTTTTAGCCTCTTTCTGTTCCTCTGAACCCCCTTCAGAGCCGCGAGGGCTTGTTTCCGAGGCCCTGTTTCAGGGCTGGTGAAAATTCCCTGTCCTCCTCTCTGAGATTCCTGACCATCTGTCCTTCAGTCGCATCGTTTCAAGGTCACTATCTTTCTGGACTGGAGCCCCCCCAGGCGGTGGCTGGACTGCAGGCAGTGCCGGCCAGACCGAGGCTTCCACCTTGGGTCTGAGTTACCAGACGCAGCCTCACTGAGCTTTGTTCAAGGCCTTCAGTGCGCTCTTCGTAAACCCTAACCAGATGGCACTGGTCTGAGTGCGACTGGCACAGTGGCCCCTGCTCCCCTCTGCACCCCTCCAGGTCCCCGGACACGAGGGTTGGTGGCAGCCTTGGTAATATGCGTCGTCAGCATTCACTGCGAGCTGAGACCCACCGTCCTGTTTCCCTCGGCAGGTATCACCAGACTGGATGACCAGATATTCCTGAACAGGAACCCTGGCGTCCCCTCCGTGGTCAAGTTTCACCCCTTCACGCCGTGCGTGGCCGTGGCCGACAAAGACAGCATCTGGTATGTGGGTGCCTGTGGGCTGACGAGCAGGTGCCCCCCGCCCCGCGCGCCCTCCTGGCCTGGAAGCAGCTCGTCCCGCGCCTTTGGGCTGTTTCAGGGGAAGGGGCTCAGAACTTGCGGAGAAACATCCCTCCTGCTGGCGTTGCCCACGCCACCTCCCCTGCCCCTGGGCCTGCGCTTGGCCCCCTCACCCACGCTCCAGGGTTCTGACCACGGTGACACGCGGGCCGTGACGGGTGCTTCCGGCACTTAGACGGGCTGTTCCTGGCGCACGGGGGCATCAGGACCCACAGTGGGGGCCTGCGGGGGGCACGCTCACGGGCGGGTGCAGCAAGTGTGCGATGGAGCCTTAGCAACGAGACCACGTTCAGTCGTAGCGAGGGCGGCCCTGACGCTGTGGAGAAAGTGCTCGCTTGGTTGGGGAGGATCACAGGCAGCTCCCATCACGGCCTGTGAAACGCAGGGTCCCCTCTGTGGCTGATTCCTCTGCTTTCCTGGCAGTAAACATACGTTTAGAGGAACTTACCGTCTTCGCCGTTCTCGAGAGTACGGGCATTAAGCACGCTCGGCTTGCTCTGCAGCCGTCGCCGCCGCCGTCCCTCATCTTCCCCCCACCCCGGCCCCCGTCGTCCTCCTCTCGCTCTCTGTGGGCTTCTCTGTCCGTGCGCCTCACGGAGGTGGAGTCACACGGGATTCGTCCTTCTGTGTCTGGCTTGTTCCACTGAGCAGTGTCCTCAAGGTTCACCCGTGTGGTAGCGGGTGTCAGGACGTCCTTCCCTCCTGGGACAGGACAGGTTCCGTGTGGATGGACCACAGTTTGTTTGGTCCTTCACCAGATGCCAGGCGCTGGGTCGCCTCCGCCTTGTGACTGCTGCGAATGGCGCCGCTGTGACCTGGGCGCAGGCACCTGCAGGCGCGCCCATCGGGGCCCGGAACACGTGGACGCCTCGTGTGCCCGGCCATCCGTGGGGGGCCCCCCGCCCCCGTACTTCCCCGGCCCGTCCCGGGCCGTTCGGCCCCC